CTAGAAGTTCTTGCGTGCCCAATGGAAAGCGTTTTATCGCGGTGATTTTTCAAATTGGTTCGCTACGAGCCACTAAAGCATGATGCGAAGAAGCAAGCCTCTCCTCTCCTCCCATGCAGCCATCGCGAGCCTGACCCTTGAATTATTTGTTCTCTTCGGTATCGAGGATTAAGAATCGCATGACGCATACGCACCAACAAAAACATGTGTTGTGCCGTTTCGGTGTTCTCTGTTGTTTATTACCAGTTTCTGTGCGAGTATCAGTCAGTGCGTGTACTTTAGGAGAGGCTGGCAAGGATCATGTATTGTGACCGCGATACACCATGTCACTCCGCTGAAAATGCGGTCAGAGACGGCGCACCAAACACAAGCTAAGCGTTGTCAGGGTTGGCGCAGGGACGATGCAGGAACGACGAGAAGACGAGCGCAATTGTAGTAGTAGTAGTAGTAGTAGTAGTAGTAGTAGTAGTAGTAGTAGTAGTAGTAGTAGTAGTAGTAGTAGTAGTAGTAGTAGTAGTGGTAGTTTGTGTGGTTTTGCGGAGAAAAGCCACTATATAAACATGAGAGATGCCGTAGTGGAGGTCTCCACAAATTTTGAACACCTGGTGTTCTTTAAGGTGCACTGACATCGCGCAGTACACGGGCATGATCTACTTTTTCACCTCAATTTAGAAGTGACCGCCGAGGCCACAATTGAATCCACGGCATTCGGGTCAGCAGCGGAGCACCCTATAGCGTCTGGTCCACTAAGGCAGACGCGGAACGGGGGCCGATTAGTCAATCGAGGCTATTCAAAACAAAAATAAAAATAATAACGATCTGAGATTCCGTTTGCGTGATTTATTACTTTTCTCAGCTTTCAATCATGATACTGATTTTGAAAGAGCAGTGCAAAGACCCAGGGAAAAGAAAAACATAGAGACAATGAGCACTGCCTTCTTTCTTTTCCCTTTGTCTTTGCGTTTCCCTTTCAAATTGACACGAAGCAGCCAGCCCAAACTAAAGTACTCCTCATTCATGCTACGCAACAGAACACACAAATTGCACAAGCCAAGTTGAGTAATGTCATGTGCAACGCTCTTAATAAAGTATACCATTTAAAATGCAGGATATAACCAGGAGACGGGGCATTTTTCGTCTGTTTTTCTAGATATAGCTAGTAGTTAACGAAGTTCTGATGAAGAGCGTATGGTATGCGACGTCAGCCCACAAATTTCCACGTAAAGGAGCGGTGTTCCTTGCTGTAACGTCGCTCCTCAGATATTGGGGCGCACGCCCGCGAGAAGGGCAAGGCATTCATTAGAAATTGAGCATTTTTCCACGACATGTAATTTTGCAAATATTATCAGGAACAATACGGAGTGCTTAGTGCACCATTACGCTTGTCAGCTCGAAATGCCCAAACCTAGTGTGGGGTCCTTCAAGGCGTTCACCGATAGGGGATAAATTGGTCCTACGCGATAAGATCTAGCATCTCTCTCTACTGGGGTATCAGTAGTCTGGTTATTTGCTCCTGCGCTACTCTTCCCAGCCACAACAAAAAGGAGACCCAGGAGAGTGTTAGCTGAATGGTGGACACTTCACGCACAATGCTAGACAATAAAACTAAAGACCACATACTGCGAATCACGCGGGAAATGTATGCCAATGTTCATTCATTGATACCTTTCTAAGTCTTAAACAATATCATTTTTTTTTTGCTTCTTGCCGTAAATACAAGTCCCAACGTCGTTGTTTTGGGATATTTCAATTATTTTACAAATATAATGCGCCTATTATATTGATTTTGAGGGCCTAAAACTGTTTTACTTGCCTGTCTTTGGTGCCTATAACACACTTTTTAGCGCCTAAAAATCCGGCCTCTAGTGATTACTATACTGGAAAGGGTTACTGGTGTGACGTCCTGAATGTTTTGATTAGAAGATGCCAGGTATGTCTCGTTTTCTCCAGAACTTGGTATTAGCGCACATTAATAAAACAATCGCGGCGAAATTCGTTTTTGCACTGGCACGCTTCAACTGGGCAGAAAATCAATAGATATTTATTACCTTTTTGCAGTTGAGGAAGTAGTCTATATAATATAAAAATTCGCTTGTCATAGGGTCTTTTAGATTTACATATTTTAAGCCAGCAATAAATTTAAGAGTACTTCCGTCGATATTGCTGCTAACTCAGAAGTAGAGTGCCTGCTATGTTCATTCATTCCTCGTTTTGAACATATGTTCATTCAACGAGGAATGAATGAACATACGTTCATTCATTCCTCGTTTTATCCACAGCAGCCGACAGAAACTTTCCCTGAACCGAAGTCAGACATAGATTAATAACCAAATTACTGATACTGAATCTGATAGCAGGTCTTACATAGAATGTAAATAGAGAATGTCAGAACATTTTAAGCCACCATTTTCAAATAGTTTCTTTTAAACTGTTCAAACCATTTTAAACTGTCCGAAGAAGCATTTGTGCAGGAGTTAAAGGTAAAAACTATCACATGCGCCCCTGCGTGACTATAGAATATCAAATAGGCCGAAGAATGTTGGTCACATACGTGCCTAGAGGCTCATTATCAAGGGAAAAAATCATTGAATGATTCACCGCAGCAATTGGCATTCTGCGGCTGCTCTCTACTGTAACGGATGCTTTGCCGTAACGGACGCTTTGGGAAGTGCGTGTTTGGCTTGCATAACATATTCTCAGGTTTCGCTTTCTTATGTGGCTATATGACGTGTTCTTTGGTATTGAACTCAGCTGTGAGTCCGCGCTTGACCTAGTTTTAAAGCGTTTTATCTTGTCTGTATACTGCAGTCTATCGCGCAGTGCCATATGTAGGCTCTAAAAAAATTATATTCGGCGAACTTGACTCAGGTTTACCGTTTAGTTAGCGCTGATTGGCGCGGAGGGTGGCTGCAGCTCATATGGATATTGGGCGACGTTTTTGATCATCATAGAATTTCAGAATGTAAATGGTCACATCCGACAAAGTCAAGAAGGGAAAATGTGGAGGCACGGATTCTTTCAGGGGGAGGGGGGGGGGGAATTTTTCTAATGCGTGTTCGTACTAGAATTTATGTGTGCCCACGCACCTTCACCATACACATAAAAACGTAAAACTTGAGGCGCCAAAAAGACTTAGCCCCCCCCCCCCCCTCCTCTTATTCCCTAAACCCTCCCACGGTTTACCCCGTGGGCATCTAGTCGTGCCCTAAAATATGACGGGTGGTCAAAGGTAAGCTTTATGGTTTTGTTAAAATTCAGCACCGTAAACAACGTGAAAACTACATATTCAAATCAGTTATGCATCTGCGGGGATACAAGGTGAAACATCATTTATCAGGGACAACCACGCAATTGACTAGGCATGAACATTGAACCTTTTAGCTGGTGCAACAAGCGGGCGTTTTTGCGTTGAGAACTTGGAGGCAGTCGCTAAAGAAATCTTCTCGCATGTATGTGGTAGAAGATATCCCGTTGCAAAGCTTAATTGCGGTTTGAATGATTACGCACGCAAGGGGGAGAGGCTCGTCGTAAAAGGGCAACTGCTACCGCCACTGCCTATCCGACCAATCATCAGACAAAAAAAAAAAAAAAACCTCGCCACGCGAATTTACCACATGACACACCATGAAGGAACTTTGCACGAGTGCTCACCGTCTTGAATGCGTAATCATGCAAACCACTATTCAACTTCGCAGCTGAATGTCTCTGAGCACAGACGCACTAGAATAATTCTTCCAAGTGCGACTGCGTGGAAACAAGACTGCCTCCAGATGTTCAATACAAACGTGCCTCGTTGCTGTAGTTCATTATTCATGCTTAGTTAATTGGTAGGCTGACAGCAATAATTATTGTCTCACTTTGTGTCCCCTAGATGCATCACTTATTTGCAAAAGTGATTTTCTCGTCCCCGCCAGTACAGAACTTCAAGAGAACCATAAATCTTATTTTTGAACACACGTCGAAACCACACGAAAACCTTGCGCAGCGATGCATTCTGACGGGCGAAACTCCCCAGCAGCTTTCACAAGCTTACATGCCAGCGAACTAAGAAAGGTCATGAACGGCGTCTGAACGGTCACTGCGACACCTTATTTTTGGTCGGCACCAATTTTCCAAAAAGGGAAACGGAAGCAATAGCCTATATGAAGTTACAGCACGTTGTGGGAAAAGAAGACTTTGCAAACGCTCTTTTCTGTCCCGTAGTTCGAATTATTCTGCCATAATATATGTGAACTTATTAACCGCTATTTCCCCGTCCTGATCGATAATTGGCATGCACAAGAAAACGGAGACCATTTCGATTACCGCCCCCCCCCCCATCGATGAAAAACGATTAATTTCTTTAGCGTTTTTTGCACATGCACATAAGAAAAAGGCGCCTAGCCCTCTCTTCTCAATTTATATCGAGACACGCCTTTGTTTCTGATCAGGCACGCTGCATATAGTGGCGCACGGCGCAGGTACGTGCCTCACCGGCTGCGTTTCGTCTTCATCAAAATGCAGCCGGTGTGAGTGGGACTGAACCCACAACCTTGAGCGCAGCTCCACAGCAGCAAGATAACCGCAGCAGGTTGCGCAAGGCCTCCACTCGGTCAGGCTTCACGCTACTTCGCCAAAACTCATGGAAATACCCGCTTTATGATGCATTGCTTGGCAATGGCAGGAAACCACCCGTCTTTTTGCCAAGAGACACAGAAAAAATGAAGTCGCACTCTGCCAGTGTCGTTTATCGCGTTCCACGGCGCACTTCACGCACGTATTCGTTTAAGCAGTCAAAGTATGCTCAAAGCCGGTCCAAGCGTAGAAGCCTTCTGCGAAATCTAATTCTGTAGATGTGCATCTTTAAAAAGCAACCAGCATAATATATCGAGCCCTATCTGTCCTCGAATGACTAAACCTTCAAGCGTAAACGTTCGTGCGAACTCCTACACTGAGACGTAGATTGTGATCTCAGTAAAAACATCCGTAACGCAAAGGTCGCGAAGGTTAGAATTTTGTATTTGGCGCCAAACCAACTAGCGTTTTGTTACGTATCATCATCAGCGGGAACTCGAGTATATCCACGTGATCCCATTCGCCGCTAGACTCGCGTGGTTTGTTTTGTTCGGCGCGGATCGCATGTGCATTTCACTACGCCGTTCAGCCGCCACCCGATAAAGCAACGGCTATCTCGAGAAAAATGATAAGCCCCGTTCAGGCAGAAGAGCGGAGCCGGAAAGGATCGTGTTCGGGCCACAACCATGCGGCGGACTGTCTTTTGCAAGCTGCTTCAGCGGCAAACCTACAACGTCCTGTCTGAGAAGCGTCTTTGCGTGGTTTCGCTTCTCGCGTTCGCCGTGCTGGCCGTCTCGGCTTTCCATTTTTGTGAGGCAAGTCATCGACAAATTGTGTCCAAGCGTGAATTGTGTGATCATTCATACTGCTGTCCGGCGAGCTTATCGCGCGCCGGCTTGAGACTCAGTTACTCCGTAGCCCGCATCGGTTTTTGGCTGTCAGGCGTAAACAAATAATCGTGCGTCAGGAAAATGTGTTTGAAATAACGATCGATCTTTCACTGCTTTTCCTTTGCCGGTCACAGGTTGCGTTTGATTGGAGCAAGACCAAGTATGCGGCCGTCTTTGACAGGTTCCGAGACAACATTGGCGGCGAGAACTACCAAGACAGGTGAGCTACGAAGTTACGTCGTACGTGATGAGCTGGGCCGTATAACTAGCGTACCGGTAGCTCAATTGGCTGCTGCATCTTCAGTTAACTTCGATTTCGAGCTCATTACTCTTTATTGGTTTAATGTGCAATGCTTACTTTTTACGCGTTATCGCGGCTACGTTACCCTTCGTTACAACTATTCTAAAACATATTATGATTGTGGTTATAATTATTCACATTTTATTGATGAGTGAAATAGCGAAAAAGAAGACGCTGACTTTTGGCAGTTACGTATTCGTATAAATAATTATAGCACAGGGGCAACTACATTATTTTTTGTATACCTATGTCGCTTGTTATGATTGCATTTGCAACATATGTCAGTTACGTACCGGTTTTTAGAGTATAGAAAAAGAACAACGTTATATGTAACCGGTAGCACCTGTATTAGAGGGTATATTGTTAAAATTTATGGTTTCACAAATTATCCAGTTAACTGACAATCCTTGTTGCCTTTTGTTGGCAACTTGCCCATGACTGATTCTGTCATAACTCATTGTGGGGGTGTGTTGATGTTCAAACTGGTTATCAGCTATTCAAACTTGGCTGATTGAGTTGACTATGATTTTACAGCAAACTGCATATGTATGTGCACATGTACGTAAAATTGGTCTTGTGTAAGCAAGATCCCCTAGCACAAGTACATGACATAAAAAGTGGGCATGCCTCTCTAGTCACCCCTGGCTCACTAAAAAATGAAGAAGGGATTGCATAGGTAACAAACACAAATTATGATCGTGAACTAAATGCCAAGTGCACGTAAGAAGCTGGACAAGACTATGCATGTTGCGACATAAACGATGCATGCTGCTCAAATGCAAATCTTTAAAGGTGCACATGCCAAATTCGAAAGGGTCTTTCTGGGCTGCATATTTAGTTACAAGGTGTGTGGCCGGCTTTGTTTGGAAATTGTTTGTCATCTTAATGTCTTGTGGTAAATAGCTTTGCTGGTCATCTGCATTCACAGGGTTAAATAGTGTTTAAATCTTTTTGTTTATATTTTTTTATGCCCACATCCCAGGATGTGCCAAGACATGCCGATTGATGCTGTCTACACCTGGGTGAATGGCACCGACCCAGAACTCGTGAGGAATCTGTCTCTCATCAGAAAACAACTCATGCTGGAGGCCAACAAGTCAAGGTAAGCAAGTGCAAGAATACGAAGAGGCGCTTATTAAAATTTAAATATGGGGATTGGCAATAAAAAGAGCAAAAAAGAAAACCCTTCGCAGTACTTTACTGCTCTCTCAGTTAAGTGCGCACAATTTTGGCCTCACTGTTCTTAATTGCATGCTTACTCACTATGTGAGTAAGCAATTCTCTAGCACCATGGCGTCAATATTTATCTGTGCAATGTAAAAGTTTGAAGATTAGGGTCGTGGTGAGCAGTACAAAAATGAAATGTACAAAAGAGTCAATTGCTCATAGTACCATGTAATTCGGCATTGAGAATAGTTGCTGTAATATTAACCTACGGATGGAAGTCGCAAAACAGGGGCTTGGTTATAATTATTTCACTCTGTTTTCCTATGGCTACACTCATTCTGTATTGCTTTTTTTGTGAGAAGGTGTTTGCTGACTGCTCTGCACATATGCTTTATCAGCCTGCACTAATATTTGTGTTAATATTTGCAAAGTACATATGGTGCCAGATGTGTTGTTTAAGAGTGTTAGCTTGGGAAATCATCATTGTCAGTCTATCTAAGATCCACTGTTCTGAACCTTGCTCCCTCTCTCTTTCTCCATCTCAGATTAGTCCTCTCTTGGGACAACCAAGGCCATTCCTGCACTTTCCTAATCTTATCAGGCCACCAATCTTGCAGTACTCTTTCTCTCTTTCTTTGAATCCAATCCAGCAATATGATAGTCCACAGGTTAATACATTATACACAGGTCATAAAACACATACAATGGTCAGTACATAATGCCTTAGGCTTATATACACGTTTGCTCTTTTAGGTGGCCTGCCCAACTGTATTTTTTTCATCAGCTTCAAGATATCGACTACTTCTACTGTAGCGGGGGATATGCACCACTTTCTTCGGCAGCAGCAGAAAGAAAAGCACAAGGCTTGAAGTCATAGGCATGTTCAGGGTGAAAGTTCATTGCCGTAGCTCATCTCCTTATCAAGTCAATGTATGGGGCAGACTTTGTGCTCCTTCCCCACTTCTTAGATGACTAGGGGGTGGTCGCCCCTCCTGCACCCCTCATGCACATGCATATGCTTGAAGTGGAATTTATAGAAATTTCTTCACAAGACTGTTGCTAAAGTCCAATTCAAGATTTTATATTATCAGGTGCATGTACTCCTCTGCTGTTTGCTTGTCTTTTTTTTAGCAACAGACATCTTGTATTTAGTGTATGTGTGTTCTTATGGTCTTTTCCCAAGCAGAAGTCACGAATATGTAATGCAGACAACCAGTGTAGCGTTGTTGCCTGTGTGGCTCCACTTTTCTGAAATTTTGTCTTTGCTTCTGGCATCTCCATTTCTATCATAAGTTATATACATGCTGTGAAAAGTTTTCAGCATCCCTGCGTCATCGCAGCACAAGGGGCTGATCAGTCCAGGTGAAAATTGTCGTACCAGTAATAATGGGTGCCTTCGATAAATACGTTTTTGAGTTTCTGGATTTTATTAGTTGTTATAATCATAAACAGTTGTGGCATGTATTGAGGTTGACTGTAATTTGTTTGTTTTACTGTTTCTTTCATTCATCATTTATAACGCCTGGGCTCACTCTGTGTAGTAGAAGTTCTGCTGCATAATGTTCAATATTTGAATTCCAGCCAGCACAGTCCTCTTAGTTATGAAATCAGGGTGCAAGCAGTACTTCTGTACCTACATTTACATGCAGTGTGGGAGGGCTTTAATGTAATCAGGTGTGCTCCACACTTGGATGTGTACATGCAGTGCCTCCTCTATAACTTTCAGTGCCTGGTAGAACACCCTCTTGCTGCCGTCGGCGCTTTCGTTTCTCCCGCTCGCCGCCACTGCGTGGTGGCGCTGTGCAAACAGGGTCGGGTGCTCTGCCGGTAGTGCTGGTGTGGGCGCGGCCTAGAGCGCTTGTTTACTTTGTTGTGCCTTGACACGTGCGGTTGGGTTTTGCGAGTTGAATGTGATGGAAGTTTTTTTTTCTTCCTTTGTCGTGACCATGTACCTTGCATGACTTGCGATGTCGTACTGCTGCGTGCCGCTGTGCAAGTAGGATGAAAAAAAGAAAGTGCCTGGACTATCTTTCCATGAAGGTCCTGCTGCCGCCGACGTACGAGAGAAGTGGTTGGCCGCTATTCGGCGGGACGGCTGGTCGCCAAATGCAACGTCCTGTTACACGAAGCTATGTAGCCGTAATTTTCGCATCGAAGACTTTCTTGAAGGAAAGAGACGACAGTTGAAGAAAGGTGCAGTGCCTTCAGTTTTTGAAGATTACCCCAAACACTTGCAGCCAAAAGGAAGCGCTGAACGAAGCACAGCAAGCATTGAAAAGCGAGATTGTGCTCCGATGAAAGTGGGGAGCGGTCATGCAACAAGTGGCGCTACTGGGCTGTTGCCACCTGCAGCACCCACACCACCAGAACCTGAATGGGAGGAACCAGAGCCCATGGACATCGCCGATAGTGTCAGCCAAACCGATCAGCGCAATGATGTTACTCATGATAAGGAAGGTGCACTCAAGCCTCGTGCATGTGACCGAGGTATTCAGGTCGACAGCAGGCAAGTGTCAAGTTTGCTGACCACAGAAAAAGCCAAATGGAAAAGAAAAGAAAAGGACCTGAGGAACCAGGCACTTAGGTTGCAACGGACTGTGGAAAAGTACAAATTGGAGCTAAGAAAGCTGCCAGAAGATTCTTTGGTGTCAGATATCTCGTATATCAGACAAAGGGCCACAGAGCAACAGCCTGCAGCATTGTTTTTGCTAGACCAAATCACAAATTTTAAGAAAAAAGGGCCAACCTGGTCTGAAGAGACAACTCGTCAGTGCGTGGTCCTTCGACATTTGTCAACAAAAGCATACGAGCACATGCGACGTGAAACGCTTCTAAAGCTGTCAAGTCGAACAAGCTTGAGGAATTACATTGGCACTACCAGCGGTGAGACAGGCTTCAGCAAACTGGTTGAAACCAGGTTAGCTACAGAAGCTAAAAACTTGGACAAGCCTCAGTCAAGGGTCTGCTCTCTCATCATTTACGAAATGAGGATAAAAGAAAAGTTACAGTACCACAAGCAAAGGGATTGCTTTGTTGTGCACGTAGATGTTGATCTAGAACAAAACAGCAGCAGCAATTGAGTCCCAGCAATCTGGGACTCAATTTTAATACGGGCCCTGAAACAGACCGTGGGAAGATAATTTGCGCCATCGAAAATGCTGTGAGCCTCGTAGAACTTTCTCGTAGAGACGAAGCCCGTACGCATGCTGTGTCTGTGCTCTCTTCACTTCGTCATATGCAGCCTTCCCTCTGACCTCAGCAGAACTTCAGGCGGTGAAGTCACTACGCAATAATAAAGACATTGTAATACTTCCTGCGGACAAGGGCAATGCTACTGTCTTGCTCGACACGAATGACTATGTGAACAAGATTAACGCCTTTGTCGAGGATGCCAGCACGTACCTTCCACTACGTAGCGATCCAACAGCAAAACTTCAATGGGACCTCCAAAAGCTGCTAGCAGACGTCTTTCGCTTCGTACCGCCTACACAATAGTCTTTATATTACTCTCTCCTTTGTAACAATGGATCAGCGCCAGCTATGTATGGGCTGCCTAAGATTCACAAGACAGGTGTCCCAATCCGCCCTATTGTCGATTTTACAAGGTCGCCTCTGAACAAGCTTTCGGCTTACCTACACAAGACACTCTCACCGCTCGTTGGAAAAAGTTAAACGCACTTAAGGAATTCCGGCAATTTCATTGATAAAGTACGCGACATGGTACCAGATGACAATGATGTTCTAGCATCTTTTGATGTACGGTCACTTTTTACAAGTGTACCTGTTGGTCTGGCAATCGACGTGTGCAAGACAGCCCTTGAGGCAGACCAATCATTGTCGGACAGAACGCCCATCGATGTTCCTGATCTGTTACGGTTGCTTAAGGTCTGCTTAGAGAACACCTACTTTATATTCAGGAGCAAATACTACAAGCAGGTGCATGGCACTGCAATGGGATCTTCTGTGTCCGTCACTGTCGCAAACCTTACCATGGAGGCTGTTGAAAACAGGGCTCTCGCTTCATTTGCTGCCCCGCCCAAGACTTTCCTTCGATATGTGGATGATTGTTTCTGTGTTTTGCAACGGGATGCCCTGCCAGTATTCTTGGAACAGCTAAATTCCGTGGAAGCCGCGATACAGTTTACCGTGGAAGAAGAATCAAACGGCTGCCTTCCGTTCCTTGACGTCCTTGTGAAACGAGACGGTAGGCGCCTGACTTTCAGCGTGTACAGAAAAGAAACACACACCGGTCGTTTTCTAAGCTTCAATTCTGTGTACCCATCCTGCCATAAACGTCCTGTTGTGTCTACACTCGTAAAGCGCGCTTGGAGGACTTGTTCTAAGGAAGAAGACGCAGTAGAAGATGTTGAGTTCGTTCGACGTGAGCTGGCTACTTGCGGATACCCGCTTTCCTTCATGAACTCGGTGCAATGACAACTGCAGCGTCCGGCTCAGTCACACACCATTGCTACAAGAAAACGTGCATCGGTGCCTTATGTCCCTGGCTTCAGCGAGACTTGCTCGGGTTTCGCGCGGCTACGACGTCCAAGTGGCTCACCTTCCGACACGAAAGCTCCGAGGCTGTCTTTCAAATGTCAAAGATAAGTTGGACAGACATGATTTTCCCGGCGTGGTGTATAGAACTCCTTGCAAAGACTGTGAATACGGATACATTGGCAAAACGGGCAATTAGAAGGCTCCGGGAACATATTAATGACGTCAAGAACAAGAAAGTAGCTTCTAATGCCCTCGCAGAACATGTTGCATCTACTGGGCACGCTATCGACTGGGATAAAGCCTGCATCATTGCCACGAAAAGAAACTTGTTACCACGATTGCACATGGAATCTCTGGCCATTCAAACTACTGCGCATACGTTGAACAGAAATATTGGGACACTCCCGCCTGTGTACGCGCCATGTCTGCAACACGTGA